AGAAGAAGAAGAAGAAGAAGAAGAAGAAGAAGAAGAAGAAGAAGAAGCCATCTTTAATGAATCTCAAAATTTAATTAAGAAAGGAGAAAGAGAGGAAGGAAAATGAAGGACTTAAGATTTAAAAAAACACCCAAGAAAGAGAAAAATAAGATGCAAAATCAATATAATGTTAGAAAACAAAAGAAAAAAGGAACACAACAGAGAAGGGAAGCTAACAAGGCAGAGGCTAAGAGAAGGTGGGGTAGAAAGGCCTGGTGGGAGAAGAAAGAAAGGGAAAAGGTGGAGAAAAGCCACAAAGCTTTGAAACCAGATGGGAAAAGAGGAATCTTTTTTAGGGACAAAGGGTAATGTATAATTTGTTTAAAAAAGATTCTGCAAGGTACATAAGATGGTACTGTAGCATTTGTATTAGAAATAGAAAATTAGAATGGTTTAAGAGTTAATAAGAAATTAAAATATTGAAATGTTTAGTAATGTATTTAATCATTTTGGATTTATTATTTTTCTTTTTAAAAATTAGTAGATAGAATGTACCAAGCAGAATCAGATTGGGTATTAGGTGTTATTTTAAATGTTAATTTAGGGGGATGATAGAAAGGCATCATACTCTGATTAGTGATTTCAGGAGAAATTCTTTTTCCTTTTTACTATAGGGAATGAGACAAATGGATAATAAAGAATGGACAAAAGATACAAATATAATGACTTAAATTAAAATGAATTAAATAAGATAGAATTAAGAAGAGTGAAATGTGTGGAGAAGCTAATATAGAAGATATAGAATGGTAAATAAAATAGGTAATGGCATGTAAGATGAGCATGAATATAATTGAAGTCCATGTAGAGAGAGGTTTCTGGGGCCAAGTTACTTTCCTAAAAGATCTCTTATATTTTTGTGTTTTGTGTGTTTATGTATGTGGGAGAATTAATAAAACCTTGCAGGAATATAGAATGAGAATAATGGTAACCAAGTCAGAGAGAAATAGATGATAATTATAAATTGGATAAATATAGAGAAAAATAATAATAGTGAAATTGAATAAGAGTAAAGAGAAATAAAGAGAAATTGGATAAGAGATATTTGTATGCTCATATGGAAATGATCTAAAATAGAATTATATTGTATAAAATAATGTTTTATTTGACTTGTAAAATTTATAATGGAAAGAGGTTCATGTATTTAATGGTTAATGATGGTTTGTTTGTCTTTAAAATTAATAAAATTTGTTTTAAAAAAAAGAAAAAAGAAAAGAGGACTTTGGACCACTGAGCAACAAACCAGTTCTGTTGTTCTTTAGCCCAGGTAAGACGCTTCTGACGTTGTTTGTTGTTCAGGAGCGGCTTGACAAGAGGAATACGACATTTGAAGCCCATGTCCAGGATCCGTCTGTGCGTGGTGGCTCTTGATGCACTGACTCCAGCCTCAGTCCACTCCTTGTGAAAGTCCCCAACACTTTTGAATGGCCTTTTCCTGACAATCCTCTCCAGGCTGTGGTCATCCCTGCTGCTTGTGCACCTTTTTCTTCCACACTTTTCCCTTCCACATAACTTTCTATTAATGTGCTTTGATACAGCACTTCGGGGAACATCCAACTTCTTTTGCAATTACCTTTTGAGGCTTTCCCTCCTTATAGAGGGTGTCAATGATGGTTTTCTGCACAACTGTCAGGTCAGCAGTCTTTCCCATGATTGTGCTTCCTACTGAACCTGACTAAGAGACCATTTAAAGGCTCAGGAACCCTTTGCAGGTGTTATGGCTTAATTAGCTGATAAGAGTGGGATGCTTTGAGCCTAGAATATTGAACCTTTTCACAATATTCTAATTTTCTGAGATTGTGGATTTGGGGTTTTCATGAGCTGTAAGCCATAATCATCTCAATTATGACACATCATGGCTTGAACTATCTTGCTTTGCATGTAATGAGTCTATCCTATATATTAATTTCACCTTTTAAGTTGCATTACTGAAACAAATGAATTTTTGCACGATATTCTAATTTTTCAAGTTTCACCTGTAGCTGTTTAGACCTCACTTGCTAATATCTCACTTGGTCTGGCTGGGATACAGCCATACTATATTACTAGATATGTTCCTAATGCTGAACGTATAAAGCAAGGTTTTTATTATTATTTATTAGTCGCACAGTGAACCAGTTGTCCAATCTGGGTTTGGCATTTTTCTCTACCTATTGGGTCCTTTCCAAGGACCTGGGATAGGCAGATCTGGATGCTTGATAGTGTTACAGATTTTGTCGCAGGATGGAAGCTGTTCCGAGTACAGCTGCCTTTTGCAATTGACCGATGGTGAATTTGTATTATTATTACTATTACTATTAGTGTACGGTGTTGTTACTTTAGCCAGGAAATCATATTGCTATTGCAGAATAATACTTTGCATTTTACCAGCCAATTTACCAGCTCTGTTGTAGGACACACTCACGTGCTTCCCAAGGTGTGGCATAGGAGGGTGAGATGGCTTTGCAGCAGAACGAAAGATGAGTGGTTCTTCCTTGCAGCAGCATACCCCTCCCCCTTCCCTGGAGCCACATAATAAATGGGCACCCCAACCAGGAAGATTCAGAGCCGATACAAATCTGAGTGCTTTCACATAGCACCAGCTCATCTTCCCACCAAAGTGGTACCTACCTATTTATCTACTTTCATAGAACATGTTTTTGAACAGTTAAGTAGACATAAATTGAGACAAGTGAGGGGAGTTCACCCCGTCACACAGTGCTAGGATTTGAAACATTAGAGCAGAGATCATCTCCAGCATCATTAAGCCACTGAATCCCTATGCCTCTATAAAGCAAGATGTATAGTAGCTACAAAAGGTATGGAGATGTCCCATATTCTTCCCCAAGAGTTCCTGCTGGTGCCCACTTACAGCTGGTAATATACTTATAACATTTTGATGAATATGAATATAGCAATGAACAAAAAGGAAATCTCTGCATAGTCATAGAACACAGGAACCATCTTGCAATTTGGGCAGAAGTAAGCAATAGGTTTTGGCCATAGTTTTTTTTCTTACTATTTATGGCATCCAATGGTCATAGAAATAATAACAGGATGTACTTCCTAAATTGTGAGCTGCTTCATAGGTCATCAGTTGGTTTTTGATTGCTTTGGAATACCATTTTTTTCATTTTCTTCCCAAAATTGTTGCCTCATCTGCAATTGTGCCAATGAATTACTCCACCCTAACCTCAGATCAACTAGGAGGAAATTCATAAGAATTGTTTCATAAGAATTTGTGTAAGAATGTTCATTCCTTTATATTATTTAACCAGTCCAAAAGAGAAGTAATACTTTTATCCAAATGTGCATATTTATTCGGAATCCTTTGATGAACACATGGTCTTTGACAGTCCAAAGACTCCATGTCAATAGTTATGACAGGCTGGTAGCTAAACTGGGAAGCTGGCAATGAGGGAAAGAGATTTGTTTAATTATTTTTCCCTATGCTCTTTTCCCTATCTATAATCCACTGCTATGAAGTTATGCTGTCTCCCATTAGCTAAAATATTCAGTCACATGTCATGTCATATCATATCATACTGTAGGAGCTTCCTTTGTGGTGTAAATCAAAGCTACGCATGTACAGGACAGATCGGGGAAATGGCAGTAAAGTACATCATTGCTTAATCATTGCTAATTCACTTTTTCCTTAAATGTGTATTATAATGCAAACAAAAGAAAACAAATGAATTCTAGTGCCAGGTATATAGACTTATCAATTTGATGGGGAAATTGCTTTAGAATTTTTTGTTTTTTAGCAGATGAGAGAACAATAAATTGAAATTCTCATGGAAGAAGTGTGGCAATTGGTTTGAATACAAAACATCTGTTTTACAAAACGAGCTTTGCCAGTCATTATGGAAGTATTAAAACTCAGAGAACAGTATTTCAAAATTCATTCTTAGAATTCAAAATAATTAAAATTGAATATGTTTCCAACACCCTGATGAATGTCTTGTCTTTCATTCGAAAATCGTTTCTCCAGCTGTCTGTAGCCTCCCTAGCTTCCCATGTTTCAGACAAATTTTAAATGAAAAGTCTGGAAAGGAACTTTTCATTGTTTTTCCCCCCCCTCCGTTGTGGTATTATCTACCCTGAGAAAGTGGGGTGGGTTTTTTTTCTTTTCAAGAACAACAAAACCATCCACCCAAATTTTCTGTCCACAAATTTGGTAGAAAATTCAAAACACTAACTCTATGCAGGTCTACATATCCCCTATCACCTTCAGACTAGCTTTACATCTCAATTTGGCACACCTACCTGTACCCATTTTCCACAGTTTTTTTTTTAATTTCTCACTGTAAACTAATTTTGAGCTTCATATGATAAACGATCTATAAGTGAAATGGTAACTATGGTGACATGTGGTTCTGCAAATTAACTGAGCCTATGAAGCCAAAATAGCTACCTTTCCCTGTTGTTGGTAATTTTGCTATAGTAATAATTACCTTATAAAGCAACTTACCATATCTTTGACCATCAAATGCCCAGAAGCAAAAGCAATGGAATTTGGGGGTGTAGAGACTGGAAGCATGAAGGCAAAAGAGCATCCTACAGTTCCTGGTATCATCAAGTAGAGTGGATTCACCTTCAAACGAATGGCCTTTGAAAAGCAGAAATTAAAAAAAATGAGACTTTAAATGATCGTTTATTAGTGAATTACATATCTCTGAGGACGGTCTGAAGATACATCTCTCCACCTCTGTTATATGAGCTGCACTGGTTGCCAGTTTACTTCCAGGTCCAATTCAAGATATTATTATCTATAATGCCCTTTGTGGCATGGGTCCAGATAACCTGAGGAACCGTCTCACCCCAATGGAATTAGCCCACCTCACTTGCACCAGTAATAAGGGCATGCTGTAGACCCCATTGGCCAAGGAATTTTGGTGTGTGTGTGTGTGTGTGTGTGTGTGTGTCCCCAAGAGAAGACCCTCCTCTGCCACATCAATAACCCTGTAGAATATCATATTTCTCTGCTATGAGATCTGCTCCATTTGATCTTCCATAAAGGCCTGAAAATCTGGCTAAGTCAACTGGCCTGAGGCTTGGATGGGGACATGTGTAGATGGTTTCTGGATTAGAAGATCCTATTTTCATTCTGTAGTATATCCCCTACCACCTTGGTTATTTCTTTGCTAATTTTAACATATTTATTATCTTATTGTCTTAATCATTTATAATATTGTTTTACTGTAAGCCACCCAGATTTGCAGGAGCAAGATAAGCAGCAAATAAACTTAATAAATAAATAATATCTAGTGTTTTGTACATGCTTTCACTAGATGATCCCATAGAAACCTACTTGACAGAATGATTCAAGGAAAGCATCATGTTCACGGGATCGCTAAATAAGATCCTGTAATTGAGATTGCATCAAGTAAAGGAATTCCCTTCCTTGAAGTCTCTTCAAATTCAATCCCAATGTGAGATCTACACAAATTCAAAGATTTGTTCCAAGTCCTATGAAAAGGCTCCTGCAGATGTGCTTATCAGAAAAGGGTTGCCACATGAAAGGATATAACACAACCTGGAAGGGAAAATGAAAGTAAGGGCAGCCGTGGTGGTCCAGTGGTTAAAATGCAGTACTGCAGGATACTTCTGTTGACTGCTGGCTGCCTGCAATTTGGCAGATCAAATCCCAGCAAGCTCAAGGTTGACTCAGCCTTCCATTCTTCTGAGGTGGGTAAAATGAGGACCCAGATTGTTGGGAGCAATATTCTGACTCTGTAAACCACTTAGAGAGAGCTATAAAGCACTGTAAAGTGATATATAAGTCTTATTGCTATTGCTAGCTACTGCCTGCGCCAAGGTCTCCTCATTGATAAGAGAAAAGAGAGCTTATGCTGCAAGCTATTCAAAATATATATATGAGTCTTTTACCAGTTCTGCCAAGACAGGCAAGAAGATGATGATTGTAGCTGTGTTGCTGGCAAATTCTGTGAACATTGCTATAACTGCTGTGATGAGAATTACAGCCACAGGGGGAGGTAAATTCTCTAGAGGGTCAAGACGACCGCCAATCCAGATAGACAAACCTGATTCCTGTAGCAAGAAAAGAAATTTTCCACAGTTATGTAAGAGAATAATATTTAAACCCCTAAAAATCTCTTTCAATTCTTATCATGCAATGACAGTATTTGGGGAAGATCATTTAACTGACAGTAGACTTGCATCTCTGGAGGACTCCAACCAGGGAGGACCAGGGAGATGAATGAAGGTGGCCACTTTACCTGTCATTTACTGTCTCACATGTTGCTGGTGTGGCAAAATATCTCTTTATACTATTAGAATAATAAAGACATCCAAGCTTGCTTGGGATCAGATAATTAATTGTAAAAGATAAAGCACATTTGTGTTTTTAAACAATAAACCTGTTTTGAATTATTACCAATGTCTGTGATTATTTTCAATTGAGCAGTCCCTATGGTACTTTTTCCCCTTCAGAAAAATTCACATGATGATATTTTTCTATCATCTATTTATTTTACATTTCAACCAAATGTGACTCTTAGTAATTATAAGAGTAAGTCCCTGTCTAGTTGTTTGCTACTGATTTCTTCATAGGGCTAACAAAACATGAGTGGCTCAGCTGGTTTCTGGATCCAAGGAAGGACTAGAACTCAAATTTCTCCAGTTCTAGCCAAGTATCTTAACCATTGGAGCAAATTGGTTTTTAGTTCAATTATACCACATATATCAGGACTTTTTGAATTATAGGTAGTTAAACAAATTATATTAAGCTTCCCAGATGACTTTTGAGTTAACGGTTGGGATGAACAGATCACACTAAGCCAACATTGACCAAATTGAATTGAATTTAGTGTGTGCTACATGCCACTGTACATGTATAATATGTACTTCATATAATATGAAGTCATATATGACAACAATGCCTATAGAAAATCAGACTCACAGACAAAAATGTTTCACAGGATGCACTTTAACAGACATACCTCACATCCTTTTGCCATTGCAAACCCTCCTCCAAGCAACAGGATTATATTCCAAGGCACACTTTCTTGGGCTTTGCTCCAAGTTAGCAAAGGTTCATTCTCAACATTTGATGCTAGATGAAAAGGTTTGTAACAAAGAAAGACAGAAATTAGTAATACAGTCTATAGTAGCCTTCCCAACCTAGAACCTCCAGATATGTTGGGATTATCCAGATGTGTTGGGAGTACAAATCCCAGCATTCTTAACCAGTCAGCCTACGGATAATGGTGGGCACCAGGGACCAGTTCTGTGGAGAGAGGTTTTTCTGTGGACCATATGGGGCGTGGTTTTGCATGCTGCTTGCATCCTGTGGATGGAGCTTTGCTTGTTTGTGCAGCCTGGTTTCTGGCATGCTGTGGCCCAGTACTGGTCCACAGACCCAGGATTGGGGACCCCTGCTCTAAATAATAGCTTAGCATGATGTGAATGAGCCTAGATAAAACTGAGCTGACAGTCTTTTGCCCTTCTCCAAATCCATAATACATGCAGATGTTTTTGTGTCTTTTGCGAAGCCTCAAGCTGGCTACTTTCAAATAAACTAGTTAATATTAACTATGATTTTCTAGTTTAGGCAACATGATAAACAGTATCTAAGCAAATATAAGAGCAAATCCTCTGGAATTCTCATGGCTATGCCAGGGGAGGAGGGGAAGGGTCATAGGAGCTGAGTTCGTGATGCTAAACTATGAATTACTATCCTATTATAATGGGTGTCTCTTGTGTCCTGAACCATCTTCCATTAAAGAAATCCATTTATGATATTCTATGTATAAGATATAGGCACGTAAATCAAAATTTCACAGACCGATGAACCAGGAATTGATTTGATACAAATGCTTGGGAGGACAGGGCTTTTCAGCATAATATAAATGGTAATGTTAACACCAGCATTTCTGATTTACAAAAACACTGAAAAGAAGTACATGGATTGGGCCTAAAAAGCCCCAGATGTGAAAGAAAATAGAAATATATCATTTAATCCATTTCTTAAACCGCCATACTGTTGCATTCGAAATATGATGGGCAATGATTTCCATAATCAACACCATTCAATCAGCTTAGTCAATCATTGGCTATTTTGACTAGAAACTATGAGCAATAATGCAAGGAGGATACCAGGTAGATAAACCTGTCTTATATCACTATGATATCCAAGAGCATATTTTACTGAAACAACTTCAGCTTATGCAAAACATGGATCAGAAAATCTACCATATTGCAATTTCTGGTCAAACAAAGCATGAATAATACATAAATAAATACACTTCTTCCAGTAAATGTAATTCATCACTTGTTGCAAAAAATATATATGGAGAAATCAAACTAATTCAATCTGTAATCTTATCCTTTTAGTCAAGTACTGTATATTTTAGGGTGTAGTGTGCAGATATACTGTATTTATCTGGTGACCTTTGTCTATACAAATATCAGAGTAGAAATATTGAATATATATGAGCAACATTTTTACATTTGAGTTTGAAATCACTTTTTTGGCTTTTGCTTTTATCATTTGCTTTCTACTTATTTGCTATTTGAGGTTTTGAACTTGATGCTTCAAATAAAAAGTATTTTAAAAAATCCAATGCACACTCAGTGGGCATTTTAAAAAATAATTCGCACTTTGGAACAAGAGGGTTAATTTTCTACTCACAGTTCAAACATTACACTTATGGAAACAAATAATCCAAACCTTATCAGTAAAGGTTTATAAATGGATTTTTGCCTGGGAAGACATCCTGTTACCTAAGTCAATTCTTATTACTAAAGTAAGCACGTTTATGTATTTGTGTATTTATTTGTTCAATTTATATCCATCTCATAAAACAACTGAAATGGCTGTTTTGTGTCATTAATACTGTTGGGAGAAATATCCATCTGATTCAGTTCCAGGCCGGGAGAGACATTGGAAATATGGAGGCTGATTGGAAAGATGGTTTAATGATGAAGCAGAACCACCAAGTCCATAGTTGAGAGTGAGGGGTTTTTATACCTTCTCTTGGGCTTTTTCTCTTGAACTTCCTGTGCAAGATTATGTATTCTATTGGCTGTTGTAGGGGTCATAGCTGGCTCTGTAAGTTGTCTGAACTCCCAGGTTGGTTGAAGTTTGCTGCTGAGATGATTCAATGAAGAAACTTGTGTTCTGAAAGGGTGTTGGGCAATTCCTATTATGGCTTAATGGCTTTGTCCTGGTTTGGATCTTGAGTGTGGGCTATTTGCTTATGAATAGAGCTATTTAGCTATTTATCTTTTAAGTGCTGACATCTGCTGGGGGCTATTATGGAAGGTGGGAGCTGCTTTCCAAGAGCATGTTTTTCCATTTCGTATCCAGTGAAATATAATATTTTGCCTTTTTAATATTTCTCAAAATATTTCACTCTTCTAGGAGAGGGGTGGGTGCTAACTTTCCACACTACAATTCTCCCTTATACTGAGGACAAAGTTAGCCAAGTCACATAATTTTCTGCAACACTGTCTCTATATTAATTATCCAAATGTCTGTAAATTAATCAGTCTACCTACTTCATTAGAACAGGTGCTATTGGAAAGAAAAGCATAGGAAAGCAAACAATTATATTTGGGGAATTAAAGCGAGGATCTTCAAAAGCCATTGCTTCTATTGTTTTCCACAGTCAGTGCTGAAGAGAGCAGAGAACTTGGTGCTTTATGTTGTACAGGGATGTTGGCACCTGATAGAACACATTATTAATGAGCCCACTGACAATTGATAGTCACCCTTTCTGGATCTTCATTGTTTTTCCTTCGTTAAGCTTATTTAGAGCAAGCAAGCTTAGCCTAACATCTGCCTGTATCTCTAAGCCAAATGGGTTTTTTTTCCCGGGCTCCCATTATAAAGGCAACCATGTGGTCCTGGGGAAAGATAGTTGTTTGCTGAAAGGTACTACATGAAAGCCCCTGTGCACTCCAAGGCACCCTTTTCCTTTCCAATCCAAAGTGAGGCACAGTCCTAATATCAATAAGTGTTTTCCCTTGTCCCTCTTTGCCTAAATGAATGTTTTTAATCCTACATAGGATAAATGAGTTAAAAGGGAGAAACCTATTGATCAACTTTTTCTATAGGGCTGTGGAAACCAGTGTTACAATACACTCTAGAGAGAATTCAAAAATATAAGACCTGAGAACAAACTTCGATAAACCAGCAATTTACCTTTTAGATCAAACCACCATTTAAGAGATGGCTTTTTCGCTGGGAAGAAGAACAGTATTGTCACTATTGTGATTCCAGTAACTGCATCTGAGACAAACCTAATAGAAATGGAAAGAGGATTCTACATAAGGTTTTTTTATCAAAGAATAAGTTTTTATATCAGGTTTCATGAATATTTACAGTTTATAATTTTTTTAAAACCCTGGAAATTACTGCCCTCAGTTAGAAAATTAACTGTAACCTAAAATTACAAATTGGAGAAAGCATGAGAAGTAGCCTTTATTTTTTTAAATCAAGACTTGTGTTTAATCATTGACTGATTATTGATAACTGACAAATTATAGGGTACAATAACTGAAATAATTATATTCTAAAATTAAGAGACTTTCACCAGCTACAGGCCAAAGAATTTCAGAGTCAGATATTGTATATCCAGGAGGGGACCTGATGAAGATAACTTTTTGAAGACCTGGAAGAGTAGGATGGACTGTAGTGATAGGTGATCCTGAAAGTAATGTGGATGTAGGACATTTAAACTCCCCACTGGATTTTGATCTGGATTTAAAAAGTGGCTGCAACAATGCAGCTGTTTCAACACAGGGGTGAAGTGGGACCTCTGACTTAGGCTTAGCACATCTTTTAAAAGAGCAAGATTAAAAAATAATTAACAGCTTCTGCAAAAGTGAACATCCAAATCTTGGCCCTGTCCAAGTGCATGATGAAAATTCAAACATCCTCCCTACAAATATAACTGTGGTCCTTAGAAGTTTGTCAGTGTTTGCTCTGAGACATTAAGTAAAAGTTCTTCAAACTTCTAGACAGTTAAATACTCTAGATATTTAATTGGATATATTAGATATTTAATTTCCATGTAAAGTATGTGTCCTGCAATAGAACTATTATCTAAGAGGAAATAAAAAAGAAAAACTTATGATCTTTTCTTCTGATACATGAAATATGAGTTTTCATTAACATGATGCCCTATGAGATACAATTTCTATCTTTCTGCAACAGACACAGCTAAGAAGGCAGATCTGGGAATTTCAACTAAAACATTATCAAAATTTGGCATCACATAATCTCTTAAATATAGGAAAAAAAGATTTAAAATGCAATACATGCTGACTTTGAAGCAAATTGAGAAATCAGTGGATTATACAATATAGCCCCAATAAAGTTTATAAACAGTGTTATCAGAAGAAAAGGGCATGAGTTTTCTATGTATTCTTGAAAATTGGAAGCATGTTCTCACTTTTTAAACACAGCTACATTAATCTGATAGATATTTTACAACAAAATTGTTGTTATTGTTGTTGTTTTTAAAGACAAGTTAGGGTGACTTTTTCAAGAAATATATGAACATTGGATTAAATTTTCCATTCAATATTGGATAGAATTCCTAAATCTCCTATTTGCCTGAATGAGTTTTAATAAACTAAAAGCAAAAACTTACCCTGGTTTGAATAAGCTTGCCCAACCTGTGATGAATTTTGGATCTCTGGAGAATAGCAATATGGCAAATAAACAGAAGAGAACAAATACTGCCTGCTCTGCAAACCTGTATTGGAATAAAGTTAAGTTAAGCACTCAACTTAAATATTTGCCTAAAGTTAAAAATAGCAGATAGTAGGAAATATGAAGAAGAACAAATTATTTAAGGTGTTTTTTATGTGAAAGGCAACAAAATGCAGGAGAAACCTATAAAAAGAATATAACTCCGAAAGTTATTCATATGTTATGTAGCACATGTCATATAACAAGAGTCAGTTTTGTTTCTTGGACTAGACATGGGTCTATCTGAGCTCTTATCTTGCTTAAAGCATGAAGCCAACTGTGTGATTTTGGCCAGTCACTTTCTCCTAGTTATAAGGAGAAGGCAGTGGAAAAATCACTTCCACAAATGCTGCCAAGAAACCTGCAGCAATTTCTCTATTTAATTGCCAAGAGCCACTACACCTTCTTATTTGAATCTTGATTGTACATAAGCATGGATATAAGCTATATCCAGACATTCAAATAAATGAATATTGATACAAATGAACATGAATTTTCCTCTTACATACTTTCATTCTATTTGAGGAACTAATGTCTGAAATGGCTAATGTATATCTGGAAGGTCTTGAGTAGACAGCAGCAGCAGCTGGTCAGGACTGATTGTGAAAACATCAGCAGAGCCAGGCTTGGGTAGCATTTAAATGAGTGATCTCTGAGAAATACTGTATATGACTGTCTAGACAAGATTAGGAAGTCAAAAACATTCCAGAAGAAGGCATCACCAATCTACGTCTATACTATTGGCAAGACACATTAATGGATATGTCTAGGAAGCTTAACTGAGTCTTGCCTATATTTATATCTGAAATATGTTTGTCATGATGTCCCATACCTTGGTTATATTCACATTAAATGATAGTCATGTGTTATGCATGAGAGTGCTCCTGAAGATAGTTCAAAGATTACAGTAGATATGGAATATAGTACAAATATGGTTGTGGTGACAAAGATAATCTTGTATTGATTACATTGGTTGCTTATTGCTTCCATTCACAATTCAAAGTGATGTTTTTGAGCTTTAAAAATGTCAGTCAGTCTGCCCATATTTTAAGAATGGGTTGGAAGACTTATTCTCTGGCTAGACAGTGAGAACTGATAAATTGGCAGGTAGAGGTAAGTTAGGTGCATTAAATCATCAGTGCATTTTTGTGTGTACATTTTTACCTATATTTTCAAATGCTTTGTGATTTATACATCAATGGCTGATGATAGTACTCCAAAAGGTGAACTTTGTTTTTCAATAAATAGATTTTATACGTGGAGATTATGTTTCACAACTCACATAAGAGTATAGCATTTAATAGTCAGAATCAGAAGTAGGCATTGTTTGTTCCATATGTGCATTGTTTTCCAGGAATGTGAAAACAATTTATATTTAATTTGGTTACATTAGATACAACACTATGTACTAAAAGTCTAATTTAATAATTTAATCAGTTAAAATCTCAGCCTTTGGATGTTGAGAAGGGGACAGAATGGAAAGCTATTTCATAACGAGTATTTAAAAGGAGATTCATTGCTAAACAACCATAGCATCAAAAAGCACTTTAAAGGCAACCAAAGCATCAAAAGCAAATAAATAAATAAAAGCAGAAAACCATCAATAGATTTAAGGAAAGAACAAGAAACAGAAGCCATTTCAAAGAAATCTGGAATTGCTAATCAAATTGGCAGGGGCTGGTTTAATGGAGTTTTTATATTCTTAAACAGTAAAAAGCCTTTGATTTTTACAGTGACACTTTGCAGGTTCCTGATGTATAATCACTTGAATGGTAGAGTGGGAGACTAATTTCTTGCATAACCATCCCTTAATGATGAAATCTTATAAGCATCTTTTCAGGCAATCTGTCCTACCTTATTTTGTAGTATCTATGCAATGTCTGTACGTAGATTTTTAAAAGTCAGGTTTAAAAAGGTAAAAGTATAACACAAAAATAACAAAAATCTGAGGAAAGTGAACAAATTAAAAATGTTGTCTAGCTTTTTCTGAAAATGTCCCTTTTATTGTTCTATTTGAGAATATAAAAATATAGGTACAATATACAACAACTGAAACTGAGCTAACTACCTTATTAAGAAGAAAAGTGAAAGCAATGGTCTCCATAAATAATTTATAGAACAGCCCTCTAATTATGTGGGCTGAAATTTTCTAGCTTTTGTGATAATTCATGAAGGACATCATTTAGTGCTCTGTAGGATCATTCTTGAGTGCCTGAACTACAAATTTTCAAAACTCAGAAGAGTAGCTAATTAAAGAATTAGCTCATTCCTTATCTAAATAATTTAGCAGAGATAATTAAACACAACAACAGCGACAATATTTCAAACTTATTTTGTCATTTGAAATCTGCTCTTGAAGCATGGCTCCAACTAAGCATTTTTGATCAATGAAAAGAAGACATTAAAATAGAAACAAAAAAAGCCATAGGAGAATGTGTATTTTATGAACATTCTTATTGCTACAGTGATTTTTCTTAAGCTGTTGACATACATTGAAATCTGAAATTTATGAAAAATCCCCATTATTAGATGACAATACTGACATTAGAATTAAATTAATTCTAGAGTCCTTAGTTCTGACCTAGATGTACAATCATAAACAAAGACCATAAACACATATTGCACATAAAAAATAGACAGGGCTTCCACTGCATCATCTCAACCACTACCATAATTTTTTGACTAAAATCTGCAGATACCTCAGATGTTAAATGTGACTGAATAGAAATGTTACCATTATAATGCATATATTTGATATCTCGTGTCCTTTCCTAATAATTTCATCTTCTTCTTTGTGATGTTTGTTATTCTCATTGTGACTTACTTTATTGGTCCCAGTTTCTCATAGTCTTCCCTTATAATTGCCCGAACTCTGCCTTCTGCTTCAGCTCTTATCTTTGATTTCTTCTTTTTGCAATCTCTGATCATTGGAAAAGGGGAAAACGTTGTTCAGTTTAAGTTGTGTAGCCAATATTTCTCCCAGATCTTCCACAATATTTATTTTAAGATCCTGGCTTTCAGAAAAGAATTCACACTGCTGTTGATTAATATGATTCTATTTTTGGATTTTTGTGATTTTAAAATTTTGGTTAATTATTTGTTAACATTTTTAAAATTGTTTTAACTTTAGAGAAAATAGGTTATATGTCTAAGAGATACTTTTGAATGAATTTTGAATTTTGTCATGCCATGAAAATAAACTATTTACATATAATGTACTGACTATATTCAGCATAGTGAATATATATATATATATATATATATATTCACTATTTTAGCAGCCAAATGACTTTTTAAAAGGTTCGGTTTAATACTTATGAAGTCCTGTTTCTGAGAAAGAATTATAAAGAAAGTGCCACTATAAAGAAGATGCAACATCTAGATTTGTCTGCCTAGACATACTGTAGGTACACGTGAGAATGTTCATTTTGGCATTTTTGACAAATGCCAATTATAAAACTGGAAAGAGTTAAAAATAATGTTTATAATATGGGTGGAAATTGTTGAGATCCACAAAATGTCGTAAACAAAATGTTCTTTAAAACAATATGAGAATGAAATTTAAGTAGCTATCATGTTGAGAACTATTCCAGGTGCATTGTAAGAAACTCATGGTTTTTGTATTTTTAGTTAGTAAAATAACTAAACATCTTTCTTTTCTCCTATCAGTAAGCAGCAAAAATACTTGTATATGCAAAAAACAATAAAGAATCAGCCTTCCAGTTGTAAAAAGAATGTCCTTGTAACTATAAAAAGTACATTCACAAATCTTCTGCAGCTACTGTATGTATTATCTCTGTGCATTGAAGGACTTCTGATTTCAGATTAGATTTCTCACTTTATCACAAAGTTGCTCTATTTCAAAGGGATTTCTCATAGTTTCCAGCTAGTCTAGTTACAGAAAGTATTCAAACCCCTGGCTTCACCTTTGTCAATTTTGTTTTGCTACAGCCTCATTCTACAGTTGTTGAAATTCATTTTTTTCTCATTAATCTACACTCAGAACTCCATAATGTCAAAGTGAAAACAGAATGTTAGAAATGTCTGTAAATGTATTAAAAAGAGAAAAAAAAACTCTGGGGAAAGAATATGTGAATGTCAAATTACATTATTTTATGACACAGATTATTTTACATACAGTATTAATTAAAATACAGATATTGCATTATCATAATCTTCATCACCTCATCTTGGCACTGAAAGCAGTTAACATAAGAAAAATAAACTGTCAAGAAAACCAAATTAAAAACTACCTGTGAACTAGCTCAGTCATCTTATCCTGTGCTATGGACAGATTACTATTATAATCAGTGGTGGGATTCATTTTTTTTTACTACCGGCTCTGTGGGTGTGGCTTGGTGGGCGTGGCAGGGGAAGGATATTATAAAATCTCCAGTCAGAGGTGGTATTTGGTGGTTCTCTGAACTACTCAAAATTTCTGCTACCGGTTCTCCAGAACTGGTCAGAACCTGCTTGAAAACCACCTCTGATTATAATGATTATCTTTAAAGTTTAGAAAATATTCCTTTGAAATGACCCTGAATTCCTTAGAAATGTTTTTAATTTGAAAGCAAATGAAGAAGGCTTCAGTGGAGATGAGACGAGGATGTTGTAAGTACCCAGATTACAAAAGGTTTACAATAAAACAGTTACCAATTAACACATTGTGTAATGAAATCACTGAAGTTTAATCCTTGTGAAATGTAACATGCCCTGGTCCAGATAATATACTTTAACTCTAATTCTGCAAAACCACTGAAGCTTGAAAGAAGAAAAAACCCACAAGCTTTTTACTTTCATAAGATGTGAATATCTACTGTGATCACAATACATTTTAAAAAAACCAATAACTACAAGAACAGAACATTTCTTCTAGTTACTGAATATTCAAGTTTTTAAAAAATACTAGTCTTTGAACCCTATACATTATAGCGAATTAGTGAAGCTCCCTGCAGCTCACAACAAAACTGTCAATATCAGTTTCAGAATTTTTATCATGATGGAAGAATAAGTGTAGAAAGAACTGAGAATTCATCCAGGATTAGAAACATCTCTACAACTTCCATTTCCCAGTTGCAATATCTTGCTAAGTATCTTTTGTGTCTAATGGAAATTTCCAGTTTTAAAAGTAAGCATGTTTAGGAACAAAGGAAACAAACCCCATCATTTAAACAAAAATGATTTTAAAACATGAAGGGCCTCACAGAAAATTATATCAATGAAAAGAGGTTAAAAATACATTCAACTTAAAGGTGTTCCTCATTCCAGCTTTTGGATGAACACCCAGTTAAATTAATTATTTGAATAGCAAATAAAAACAAATTCAAGTTATGCATATAATTCTGATATAACAATACCTTAAGCTAATGCATCCATAAAGGAAGCATATCCAGAGCCATCCAAGAAAAAGGAAAAGCAACATTAAGGGAAAGGCAAACACAAACCAAGAGCCAAAGTTCACAACATCACATCCTGGAAAATAACTAAGAGAAAGAAAAAGACCAATTAATACAAAATGGAGAAAATGTTTTTGAATACATTTGAAATAAGAAATAAATAACCAACACAATATGTCTTGCAACCTTCCAAAACCAATTTATAAAATGCAGTTAATACAAGATTAGCGAAGATTATCTGAATTTTTTTTTCACATTCTCTAGGAAAATCCTACTCAATAGTCCTAACCCTGTAATTCCTGATACTGATTTCATAGATTGCATTAACCACTTTATTGCAATAAACACTTTAAAACAGGTCACAATAAGTTGGTTCACCCATTTGGGGTCACAAAATATAGTGACTGGATTCACATCATATATAACAAGCCAATATCAAAAAGTCACATTGTGCATTGTGTGAACCTGGCCAGTATCTGAAGGTTTCCTGTTATTGTTGTGAGTATTGTTAGTTTTCTACAAATATCAGATGCCAAGCTCTAACAAAAACTGTACCTCTTTAACTGTCCTGAAAGAATGAGATTTGGGGCTGTCCCAGTCAGTGTTGCTGTTCCACCAATACTAGCAGCATAAGGGATGGAAATCAGAAATCCTTTCCATACATTTGTCTTGTCTTGTTCTTCCTTCATTACATCCAAGGAAATGTCAACTGTGACTTCCTTCTCTTCAATCGTATCTTTCCTTCAAAACATTCCAAATAAAAATATAGCATTTGAAATACATTTTTGCTTGTAAGTCAACTGTTATCTTCAGAGAGGGATATTTGGAGCAATTTGTACATTCTGTACAGAATATATAATATTCTATACATAATAAGGATAATAATCTTTAAAATAGATGAAAAGTAAAAAAATAGAACCATTCTAAATTTAATACAGAGATGGGAATGTGATTGCTGACTATGGGGCATGCTCAATATTTTTGGAAGAGTGACATTATAATGTAAAGTGGTTGTAACTATTATATATGAACAAGAAAACTTAGACTAGGGTTTTTTCCCCCATTTTGCCCATCCCTGCTTTTAAAAAAAATGTAGAAGATGAAAATTCAGCAGACACAACTTTTCTTTCTCCTGCATGACAAGCCCTTTGTTTTTTATCTTTAATGCAAGTATGAAAAATACTTAAATTCTGGATGTTTGTTTCCTTTAAAGACAAAGGGAGAAAAGTTAACTTGATGGACCATAAACCTGGTGTTAGAACATGCACTTAACTTGCAGAGGGCTCAAGGTTCAATCTTTAACATTTACTGTAAAAAGAAATGAATGACTCCTTGTGAGCAAGGAATGTTTGCCAGAAGGAACAGAAGTCCATAGACTAGGCATAGGCATAGTTGAATTGTAGGTGAACTATAAACTAGGTCCATTTGTCCAACACAATCAGCACTGATTTGCAGAAACTTCTCAGGTTTTTAGGAAGGGATCTTTCCCAACTCAGTCTGGAGATGTCCAATATCCTTATTACATGTAGCCTTATTGAATAATGCCTTGTTGGATTTTGTGTAAAACTACTATTTAACAGATTTATTTAACCATACATGTGTGAAACTGCTTTCCTTTCCATTTTCTTATACTGGCATAGCAAAAAAGTAGGTTTTGCTTCCATTTCCAATTAATTACACTCTTGTTCTTAATGATTGTAGTTGATCAACTGTAGTTGATTTGAACTAAAATTTAATCAAGGTGACACAATCTTTTCAGCTCTGGAGACCACTATAGTGGCCACAGTTACCAACATTGCATTGCAGTATCTTCACTTTCCCAACAAAATGTTTTCTCCCCAATGTAGAAGCATTTTATTCTAATCAGACAAACAAGAATAACTGTGGCATGATGCTATTCCACCATTATAATTACACTTGGTATCATGATATATAGGCAGTCCCCTTCTGACAGGTAATTGACAGGAAAAAAACAGTACTATTACAGCAGTCTCCCTTCCTACTGATTGAATTCCATATGAAGAAAAGAAAAAGCACTTTAGCAGGATTCAGACTAGTGGGATGATGGGAATTATGGAGACACTAAACTGCATCTATTTTTTTTAGAAAACTAAAAGATTCCCCAGGCATTGCTTAAGCAAGCCAACAGTACAAACATATTTTAATCTTTACTTGTAAGGCTAAACCAGTACTAAAACTAACCATAATTAATCTTGGTTAGGAGGACATCCTGATAAACAGCAGCTCCTTGAGAATGGAAGCAGATGGTTTTCTCCTTGCAACCCTATCAAAGGAAAATGGAAAAAAACAGACACCCTCCCCCCCAAAATTCTCTTTCCAATTTCTCAAAATGGATCATCCAGTTATATGGAACAATGCCCAGAATCCTGGTGCTATTGAGAATTGTCGGAACTGCTATCTGCAAGCAGTAACTAGAAATGCTACTAATGAGGATGAGTGTGCTATAAGGTTAGATCAGTAGATTTATTGCACATAATTACAAAAACATATATTATAGAAAGATCTTCATATAGCAGCATGGAGTCCTACCTCTCTATAAATTCATCCCCAGATCCAAATCCTAGGTGTCTTCTTACCATCTTTTTGCATCAAAATCTGTGCTTGTTTCTCAACTGTGAAGGTTCATAGAACATAGAATAACAGAGTTGGAAGGGACCTTGGAGGTCATCTGCTCGAGCAGGAGAGTCTATTCCAAATATTAGCCTCTACCTAGGGTCGAACTCCACCTCTGGGCCACCATCTGTCCCTTGTTTACAAAATGTCTTTCCCTAGTAAGAAAATTAGAAATTCCCATCTCACCAGTTGCCCAAATCTTACAAAATATAGCAAGACATGGAAGATTATTTTCTATAAAAACAGGAATATATTCCTTGGAGATGACTGCCAAGTAAGCAATTTGATATTTCATACGGACAGTGCCTTCCTTTTCAATAGCAACTTACTCATTAGCATTTGTCAGAAACTGCATCTCAGTTGGCACCATGTGAAGTTTGTTCTGATGTACTGAACCTAAAAAAATAAATATTTCAGAAGATTTTTTACACAGAACCGAAAAATGATTCTTGAAGTGTATTTATATTGTTATCATATTTATTAAATTTGCATACAGTGTATGTGACTTGCATTGATTCCTACCATTATCAAAAGTGGTTTTCTTTGATATCTGCTTTTCAAAAAATGGAAAAAATGTATATTGGCTTCTGGACATTCATAAAATTCATCTCAATCTATACTGAAATAAATATTAATATTCACTGCAATTGTTGTATTTAAAAAAAAGAGGGAACCTGAAATATATTGACCTGGTTCTAAGAGAATGTGCTGTTCTGATCTCAGTAGAATTGTTGCAGACACACACACACATTTTACTACTAAACTATATTGCTTATACTAGAAATAAAATACAGCCATCCTGAATTAGTAGTTTCATACTTTAGTGCTCCATGAATTTATGTAATTACCTCTTAAAGCCATATACATTTTAACTGATCTCTGCCATTTGTAGAAGCAGAGTTGCTAGTCTCACTATGCTGCATGGAATATTACTTTTTGATAACAAAAAAATTTAGGCTCTAAGGTGAATTTAAAAGTTTGCTGAGCACTACATGGCAATCATGGCATGATAAGAGGGTTCAAAATAATACTGGCTCAGAATAAGATTTGATTGCTTTTTGCTTTGAGGTATCATACCACTAAGCTCAGAGAGCACCAAGGATACTACAAATATTACATTACTGTTTGTTTTGGCTTTTTTTTAAAGGAACAATAAATCTACTTGCGGTTGCATATCTACTATAGCAGATGTAGCAGATATGTAGCAGATATAGCAACTGCATATTCTATATCTATTTCCAAGCTCCCTGGAAACTTTTACCTCTGATGGCACCATATTTATTTTATTCATCTTATTGGGATTTTTCAAGATTCATAATTAACAAAAATCATATTTAACTTTGTTGCCTTTTTTTTGAAAAATGTACTTATTGATATAGTACCTCAGTGAAATGCTTGTCTTCGTATTTATTAGAATCTTATTAATACATTTTTTTGCAGAGGGCCAGGATTAGGATCACTAGGGATTAAAATACCCTGTTGAGTCTTGATTATAAGAGAACCTGTGCTCTTTTGACCCTAAATTTTGTATAAACTTTTCCACTTGGAACTGTCGTTGTCTTTTCTTTCTTTCTTCATGTTGGGACAGACAGGATATTACAGAAAAGCACAAGGTGGACAAAGTCTATGAACCTGCTCACTCTGCTGTTGAAAGTATGTGTCTTTACTGCTCAGTGAACCTGTGACTTTTGCACTTCACTATTCTTTGGCATTCTTTCTTATTTAAGCAATAAAATGGTGTCTCAGCTCTTGACTAGAACAACAGAGAAGGAATTAAAATAATAATATACCGTGGATGCATTTTCCATTCCACAGTACAAAAATGTATGTCTCAGACTGGGCAAATGTTGATACAATCTAGCTTTTGAGTTTGTTCAAACTATTAGGAAAATGATTATGTTCTCTGGGACAGCAGGTCTGTAATCAAGAACTTCTTGTCCTTGGCTATTTTAGATCTACTGAGGGTGGTGATGCCAGGAAGGATTGTCTTAGATACAAGTGAACCTGAGGTGGTTGGATCTGGCCACAGTTATCCATGCCTTGGTAGCACAGAACTCTGTTTGAGACTATACTTGAAGAATAACAAAAAGCTTTAGTTAGCAAGCAGTGAGCTAGCTAATTTGCTACCATGTAGAAAATACCATAAACCCACCATACCCATTTGAAAAATCTCGGTGGATTACCAGGCATTATCCAAACTCAGTTTAAGGTGTTTAAGACTGAGAGCTACAAATGTAGAAGGACAAAGCAACCTGAAATAGGGCATTCACAGGGAGGGATGAGGGGTTGTGAATAGTGTAAAAACAATGTGTGGTAGGCATGACTCGGCAATGACTTCCGGAAGAAGAGAGAGGAACCTGCCCCATTTTACATCAAGGGGGCTGTGTGGAGAGAGTTTCCTCCTTTAAATTCCTGGGAGTCTACTTCAATGAAGATCTTACCTGGAAAATCAACACAACCCAAGAGGCCAGAAAGGCCCAAACAGAGACTCCATTTCCTCAGGGTCTTGCAAAAGAACAAAGTGGAACAACAACCAGTTCTTTTACCAGTCCACTATAGAAAGCATCCTCTCATATTGCATTACGGCGTGGTACGCTGGCTTGACAGCCGCAGATAGAAAGACATCACAGAGGATGGTGAGCTCAGCACAAAACATTGTGGGCTGTTCCCTGATGCCACTAGATGACATTGCTAGGGCTCGCTGCCTTAGAAGAGTGAGGAAAATTCTCAGGAACAACTCACACCCCGGTCAGCACTTCTTCACTCTCCTACCATCGGGTAGGAGATATAGAAGCATAGCTAGCCACACCAACAGGCTGAAGAACAGTTTCCACCCGTGGGCTGTCAGACTTCTGAACAGAAAATAACTTCATATCTACATGGTATGACAGACTTGCAGGGCCGGCACATTGTTCAACAAGGTCATATGGTGCAATAAGATTGGGACTGGGTTAGGGACTTCTGTCTTCACTGTGAGTTGTGCTGGAGGGGGAGCATGAAGGGAGGCTCAGCTAATCTCATTGTACACATGTACTCAGCTAATCTCATTGTACACATGTTGTACTCTGACAATAAAAGAAATTAAATTGAAACCCCCCACCCCTTTTAACATTCTCTATTGTTCCCCCCAAACTGTGCAGCTCATAACCTCTAAAACCTTGATCCTTCTCACTGCTTTTAAGCAGTATATGAAGATTAAACTCTTAAACTTACATTATTAAATATTAAAAAATATATTCATTCATTATAATTGTTATTTTATGGGGGTTTTTTGAGTCATTGGTTTTTACATTGCTGGTATTGTAGCCATCTTGAGTACTGTTTTTCAGATAGTAACTAGAACATTACTATTGTAATTCATACAATAGTAATTTATAATCATTCTTTATAATCATTTTATCATCATCATTATTATTCCAATAATTCTTTAAAAAATAACTTGAATTGTAAGTCATAAAATATTTATATTGATATTTCTGAAGTCTGGCAGTCTCTGTCCACTCTACCACTCATGTCTGTAGACATACTTTTTTATATACTTTTCAAAAAGTATAAAATATACTGTCCATCCAAGCAATTTGAGTAGCATTGAACTGCTTGTGCTCAGGTAGTTTAAATCAGGTCATTTCTTTAATTGGTATTCTTGTACTCAGAAGAAACATTTTCCCATATGAAGTTACCCTTGCTAGGGTATAGGAAAATGCAGCTTTGAATACTGTGTATATCTGCAGACCTACTGTCCTTCTTATTCCTTGTTGCAGCACCATGGGAACTAATATGCATATACATATAAAGATAAAGGTTAACTTGTCAGTCATGTCCTACTCTCAGGCACGGTGCTCATCTCCATTTCTTGACTGAGGGAGCCAGAGTTGTCCGAAGACAAGATGCATGGAATGCTGTTAATTTTCCATTGAAGTGATACCTATTAATCTACCTGCAATTGCATGCTTTCGAACTGCTAGGTGGGCAGGAGCTGGGGCAGGTAACAGAAGTTCACCTTGTTGCATAGCTCTTGGCAGGGGTGGGATCCGACTGGTGTAACTACCGGTTCAGTGATTTTACATTTTGTGCAAGTGCATGTATATCATTGTCATCTAGCTACCTGGACAGCTGAGCAGCGCTGCTTGCGGGTGTGCAGAGGTTGAAAAAGCACTTTTTTCCTGCTTTTTCAACCGCAGCTGTGTCGCGCAAAGCAGCTGTGGTTGAAAACGCAGGGAATAAAGGTCAGGTAAAAACCCAGGCAGGCGGGTGGGCCAAAACAGCAGCAGATATAGAACCGGTTCTATGTATGCTCTCTGTTTTCTGCTTTTCAGAGCAACCGGTTCTACAGAAGTGGACAGAACCGGTAGAATCCCACCCCTGGCTCTTGAGCCAAACCTGGGCTGCTAGCTCTCCAGCTGACAAGTTCAGCGCCTTTAACCTCTGAGCCACTACCCCCCCTTGCATATGTACATATACATATCATACACACACACATACACATACATATCATACACACACATATACACACATCATATACGCATACATACCAAAAATGAAGTGGGTTGGGTCAATCAGACTTACCTTTATTTTCTTCTTTTACACTATTGCAATCATTAGATGTTTCCTTATCTCCGAAAAGGCTTTTTAAAACAGCCAATGCAATTGGTAGCATCATAGCAGTAGAGGCTGTGTTACTCAGCCACATGGACAAGAAGGAAGTTGTTAGCATCATGCCTAAAATGAGTCTGAAAAAAGAGAAGGGGAGGGGAAGGGAGGGGAGAAGAGAAGAGAAGAGAAGAGAAGAGAAGAGAAGAGAAGAGAAGAGAAGAGAAGAGAAGA